TTCTTTCATTAAATGTTGTGATGAGGTTACAGAAGACATCTGGTGGTTATATACAAATTAAAACGCTCAAACTATCATAGACTGAAAAGAAGGGGACTCCAGAGTTTGTGAAAGTCAGAGTGTGGTTACACGTGGAATAAAATCTGTCTTTGAATCGGGTTTAAGATGTTTTGAAATCATTTTTTTAAAGTGACTACACAACACACATGCAAGGGTGGAGTCCCCCCCCCCTCCGGAAAGTATGTTTTGGCATTGGACAGTGAGATATTTTACTTGTCTGCGAGATGATTTCACAATAGCTTGTGAAATCAATGCATTTTCCTCTTTTTTCCCCCATATGTGAATGCCTCTGTCTGTGTAAATTGTGTCTGTGGGGTTTGACATTCACTGGCATGCCTTTTGTGCTTCTTCTCCTGCTCCAGGTGTGTCTGTGTCTGTGTCTGTGTGTCTGTTTTAGTCTCCTCAAATGACATACAACACAATTTAAAAAAAAAATTAAAAGTTTTCCTAAAAGGACACACATACACTAACCCAAAAACCATGAGACTTTGAAATGGATTCAAAAACCCAATCCATCACCTGATTTATTTCAATACTGTATCCATGCCCTCGGTTTGGAAAGCCTATTGAAAATACATCTGCTTCTGCAAGGTTTGCCCTTCTGTTTTTCTGCGCCATCACTGAAGTGCTCTTATGTACTTAAAACTGTATTTGCTCGGGCCAGAATCCTGTTGGGTTAATTACACCAGCAGGTGTGCAATGGTATAAACTGCTGCTAGTGAACCAGTCACCACTTGTATTTTTTTATCACACGCCAGATGTATAAGTAGGTATACAAGAGAGGAAACAAGCAGCACGTTTAACTAACAGCTTATTCAGACATATGCCTGGAAGTCCAAGTGGGGACTCTTTAATTGGCAGCAAGAAGCTGCTGCAAATTATGCAGTTTGCCTTCCACAAGCATAACTACACAACAGGATTTTGGCCACAGGGAGATAAAAATAAGGTTGCTATTTATAGTCTCTTGGAATGCCGAGAACACAGATGACTTACATTTGTTATTTGTTTTTCTGCAAGTTGGTGTTTAGGTATTATTATTGTATTATTTCTTTGGTGTTTAGGTATTACTATTGTATTATTTCTTTGCCTCAATCCATTTGCACATTCCAGCCAGAGTAAGCACATTGAGACAATTGCTAGATGTCTAAGACAACTTTTACGGACATCCTATTGCATCTTCTGACTAATGTCAAGTGGGATTGCCAAGTGGATTTACGTCTCTCTCAATGGCACTCGATAATTCTGGTGTGCACATGGGCAGCTGGGAAGCCGAGAATTTCCCATTAAGACTGAATAAGGTTAATTTTTTAAAAAAAAAATTAAAAAGCATGAATCTGTGCTAAGACCGTTGACATTTCGATAGGAAAGCCTTACCCAGAATTTTAGGATGGGCCTGATCGAACGACACAAGGTTGGGAACCATGGTTCCAGGAAAATACATTTCTCTTCCGGCTAACGAGAAGTTTGCAGTTAAGCTTGGAGAGAAGAAGAAGACCTTGTAGGGGTAGCAGAAAGACCCTGCAAGACAGAAAGTCCGGGCAGTCTTCATATCCAGAATCTGTCTGGAGTCGACAGATACAACCGCCTGTTGCAGTTCAATGGTGTGCCACAAGGTGGAGCCACACATTGATACAGAAACTTTGGATACTGCAAGAAGTGTTTCATCTTACAACATGGGGGGGGGAGATAAAAACCAAGGATGTGCAGCTGCCTGGGGGAATCTGGGAGTTGTAGTCCAAAAGGCACGAATCAGTATGCCTCTAATAAAGGCAGAAGAGTTGTGTTTATTACTGTAGATCTCGGTGCACTTTCTCGGACTCAAACGAGTCTCAGCCATACATAGGGTTGTAAAGGAACCGAGGTGCGAGATTACCGCTAAAGTAATATTTAAAAACATACTATTTTAGTTTAACTGAAAGAAATGACAGAATTGGTAACAGGCGGGGCTATCCGGGGAACGGTCTGTTTTAAGCCAAGATGTAATTCTGAATTTCTGAATCAAAACCACGACTACATCACCCATGATGCAGTGCATCGCAGATGGCCACGTCAGAAATGTGGGCCCCCGGACCTGTGCAGAGTTCGCGACAAGAGAATCGTCAGTGGAGAAAAACTCTTAGGGGAGCAAGATTGAAAGAACAGGATTCAGAATCCTCACCAGAGTTACCGAAGGGCCGTCCCTCTCTTTCCACCTAGCCTGCCTCGAAGGGTTGTCGTGAGGGAAATGTCAGGGGTATGCTTCCGAGCTCCTTAGAAGAGGGCTGAGGGGTAGATGCAGAAGATGAGGATTATTTGAGACGGAAAATTATTATCCAAGTTCTGACTTTGAAGAACCTCTCGAGACGTGTCCCCGCATCAAATGTCTCTTTCCTTTATTTTCCCAGAAATTCATTTCTTTTCCCAGAAACTGGCCCAACATTTGTACATGGAAGCAAACCTCTGAGAATGCCTTCAATGTCTAGTTCTCTCTTTCTTTCTCTCTCTCTCTCTCTCTCTCTCACACACACACAGAAGCAAACCTCTGAGAATGCCTTCAGTGTCTAGTTCTCTCTCTCTCTCTCTCTCTCACACACACACACACACACACAGAGAGAGAGAGAGAGAGAGAGAGAGAGATGTTCTTCTGAAGGACTTTGGTGTAAAGATCTTGCTGAGTCTTTCAGCCAGCAAAATGGACAAACACAACACATGGGAGGGTTACGAAAGAAGAGGGTGAAAATATTTTTAATATTTTGGGGGGGGACTGGTCGGTCGGCAGCTGCTCCAGCCCGCTCTCGAAATTTCAGGCCTGCTCTTTGAATGCTCCGCTGCTGTGATGAAACCTTCTCCAATTGCCACCACAAAACGTTCCTCTCGTGAGAGAGGGTGCTGGGCCCGTTTTCCTCCGAGTAAAAGTTTCGGGAGCTGTAAGTTAAGAGGCTTCGTAGGCAAAAAAAATCAACCACTTCATAGGCGCTGTGTGGAAATTCAAAGGACAAAAGATTTCTGAAGTGGGCAGTCGTCATGCATGGAGGACCTCGTCTCTGGGTTTTTTAGAGGAATCCTAAGAGTCCACCAAGCAAAACACAAAAGAATACCACGTGTGAGTCAGAGTCGGGTGCAAATGTCAAAAGGGAGACAATGAACAACTGCATTTACCTCAACCCCAATAAATGTTGAAACGGAGGCTGCCCTGCTTTGGGCACCTCATGAGAAGGCAGGATTCTCTGGAAAAGACCCTCACAGTGGGAAAGGCAGCAGGAAAAGAGGAAGAGAGAAGGTGAGATGGGCTGACTGCCTAATGGAAGCCATGGGCATAACGTTGGCAAGATCCGAGCCGGGCTGTTGAGGAGAGGGCATCTCGGAGCACCGAACAAGAAGAAATAAATGTGAATTTATCTGTTTGTCACTCATACGACTGTCGTTTGAAACTGCCTTTCAGACCCGGGATTCAAGGCAGTTCTAAGATTAGCAGCAGGCATGAATAGATTTTAAAAAAAACAAGGACAGAGGGGGGGAAATCATCACAGACACAAGCAAATGATAACAGCGCAGCACAACACAAAAGGACGACGAGAGGATTTCTTCCCCAAAAAGGTTGATCATCAACTCCCTGCTTCTCATGTGATGCTTCTGAGTTTGTGTGTCAGCTCCAGGGCGGCCAGATGACCCTGGAAGTTGATTTCCACGAAGTAACGATCCCGCACCCTCGTTAGGAGGGGTCCGTACCCCAGTTTGGATGGCACGAGGAACTGCAGGCTAGCTCAGGGGCTTAAGCATCAATGTTGAGAGTTCGATTCCTGCCCACCCACACCCCTTCTAGGTTTCCTGGATTCACATATTACGTATTGGGTGCCATTTTAAATTGATTGGTGGCCTATAAAGATATTGCCTATTCTTGCATTACTAATTTTTAAGGAGTGTTGTTAAAAAAAAAAAAAGAAACATCTTAAACATCAACCAAAAATAAATCCTTTCATGCGATTTTGAAACCCCTTGCAAATAAAATAATAATGACAATACTGTAATGACAATAATGACAATAACAACAAAACAACAACAACAATAATAATTAATCAGCGAGGACACCCACAACAACAACAACAACAACAACAACAACAACAACAACAACAACAACAACAACAACAATAATAATAATAATAATAATAATAATAATGTCAGCGAGGACACCCACGCGTGCCTTTCCCTTAATTCTGCAAACCGCTGGCTTGTTTCTTCCACGCCAAAACTCCCCTCCAGCGCTCCGCCTCCCCGCTCCGGACTACAATTCCCAGGATGCTCCGCGCGCGCATGCCCACTGGAGGGTCCCTCTTTGAGTGGCAAGTTGTTTGTTCGCTTGCAAACCCAGCTCTTTTGC